TCTCCTCTCCTCTCACCACTGTTCTCGTCTTGTTTCTTAACTCTCTTTTTCTCCATACTGTTCCTTATCCTTCTTCTTTCCTCTGTGTAGTACCATCTTTTTTTTCTCTTTTGCATCTGAGCATCACTTGCTGGGATAAAGAAGAGGCCTGTGTGATTAGCACACAATGTCTTTCTGCCATTTATCTTTCATCATTATGGTGACTCCTCTTCGTTCTTTCTTCCCCGCTCTGCGTCTCTTATAGTGCAGGAGTTGTTAATGGCCTGCGTTGCTTCAATTGGTTTCTAAATGCTTATGAGCGAGGGTCCAACTGTGCGCTTAATGAACGGGTATGACTGGGTAATTACAGCAATCTCAGCCCCCTCCCAAACACACGCACATACTAGCCTGGACCACACAAAGCCCAACAGGACTGAGGAAACCAAGCCCTGCAGGAGTCTGCAGAGGCGGAAAGAAAGGGCAGGAATATAGAGAGAAACTGAACAGGAAAACAAAGGAGACTGAACAGAGAGATTTAAATGTAGTAACAGGCTATTATCGGTCATTTAGATAAATGCTCAAGACGCTGGAGAGCGTAAATGCTGGAGATGCATTTGGTACACAAGTGTGTTGATGCTAGAGAAAAAACATGGACGCTTCACTAAAATGTTTGAATTCTACAGATCCTGAGCACTTTAAATATATTTTTTCAGATAAAACTTTTTGTATATGTCCTTGTCAGAAAAAAAAAAAACTTGCTTAGTACAATTTTACGTGGCTTATTGAGGAGAGATGATTTTTGCCTGCTTGCATTACAGGAGTGATTTGAGCCATATAGAGAGATGAGAATAGCAGACGGTGGGATTTTTTGACTTGGATGAATCGGATGACTAACAACCACCTAGTAAAGCCGTATCAACCTAGTCTAGCATCATGGTGGTGAGTTTTGAATATCCCAGCGCCACTCACATTATCTTCAGACAATGTAAAATCTAGACTAAAGAGTGACCTAAATGATTTCCAAAGTTTAAGCAACTGCTTAAAAAAATAAAAA